AAAAGTATAGAGTTCATGTTAAAGTATAGAAAATCAACATATTCATGAGAAGAAAAAGAAGGAAAAGAAAATTCAAAAAATATAGGGGCTGAACCCTTATTTTTGTTAAGTTCTTCCTTACTTATTGGTTCAGGTTTTAAAGCCGTTGGGGGTTCAATACAGCATTTAGCAATGTTTATATTGATTAAACCCTAACAAATAAGAAAATAATAAAAAGAAATTAGTATATAAGCACACAAAATGAATATTTTAGTTTAATAGTGCATATTTTATAATTATAATGTCAAAAAATAAAGAATAAAAAAGTATTTTATAATACATAGTAGAAAACTGTTTGGCGATTAGGCGAAGCGAGCCTCAAAGGGTGCCTTGTCGCCTAGGTGTCACCTTGACAACTATGAATAAAACATTCACGAAAAATGAGAAGTAGGCAGAATGTGTTTTGACCAGGGTCACACACTGATTAAGAGCATTGGATATTTTTTGCCAACTCTCCTTTGATGATATTTGGAGAAATTAGCTTACAGTGGCATCTAGCTCAGTGCAGAAGGATAGGGTAAATATGGTGTGGACACCTCCTCCTAAAAGGTTTTTTAAAGTTAAATTTTGATGGAAGCAGCCAAAGTAACTTAGGCCCTTCTAGACTAGGAGGGGTTATAAGAGAAAAGGAAGCAACTTGAACTTGGAGAACTTTTTTTGATAAGTAAAGAAAATTTTTATTATATTAATTCAGAGGTTCAAACTAATACAAGCATCCCTTGGAGAGGGGCAAGCTGCTGCAGCCTCTCCCAACAGATTTCAAAGGATTAGATATCAAATTACAACTGAGCCCAATAAAATTGTTCTCTACTTGCCCCTTGCTTGGCTAACCAACCAGCCAATGCATTTACCGAGCTCCCCACCAATTGTATTCTTACAGACATATTTCGTGTCAGCCACTTAAATTTCTTGATTTCATTCTTGTAACACCAAACAACATCCTCTGGGTTCTTCAACCACATCACCACCAGCTTGGAATCCCCTCCAATCAATAGTTGCTCCATGCCTAATTGATTTGCAAATTTCACCGCTTGTAAGGGAGCTAGTAATTCTGCCATAGCAGAGTCCCCAATTCCCAAAGGACCCAAGTAAAGAAGTACAACCTCTCCAAGCTCCTTTCTCAGGGCCTCTCCATTCCAAAGGGACTTGAGTTACTTGACTGCTCCCATCAAAATTCAGCTTCAAAGTTCAAAGAATCTTCAGGAGGGGGGTATCCGAATTCCAACTTGCCATTACCCTACTCTTTATAGAGGAACACCTAGCTACCACTGGCCAATTCCTCCATATATCATTAAAAGAGAAATGGTGAAATAACACCAAAGTCTTTAACTAATGCATTACCCTATTCAACAGACACTCTAATTCTTGACGGCTTCTCTCCTCTTGGAAGATTCTAGCACTCCTTTCTTCCTAGATTGTCCAAAACAGTGCTGCCCTGGCACATCTCCCAATAATTTCTCCTCTTTTTTAGGCAAGGAGAAAAAAGAAGGATTAAAGAGCATGCTTACTTCTTTTGGCATATTCCACATATACCCAAACAACAAGAAGAGCCAAACCCATAATTGTATAGTAAAAGAGCAGGAAATTAATAAGTGGTAGCAATCCTCACCATGAGACCTGCAAAGGATACACCAGTTAGGTGAAATACAAAGAAAGGATCTTCTCTTTTGTAAGCTATCCAAGGTGAAATACAAAGAAAGGATCTTCTCTTTTGAAGCTATCCAAGGTGTTTATTTTCCCATAAAACACTTTCCAACAAAAATCCATAATCTTAGGCTATGTTTGGTTTGAAGGAAAATGTAGGGAAAGGAAGGGAAACCTATACAAGATTTGTAAAGGTTTCCCTACCTTTCCCTATTTTTTCCTTCAAACAAAACATAGCCTTAGGGAAAATAGGCATACACCAAAAATCCCTAGTAGGGAAAAACTGTTGAAAAGGAGACTAACAAAGGGACTTGAAGAAGGAAGCACAAGAGAAAGTCCCTTTGGGCCAAGGAACCCAAACCTGCTTATCTGGCTCAGAGGAGTCCAAACAAACCTTACTGAAGAGATAAGGCAAGTTAGGCAAACAATTAATTTCCTCATCCCTCAATACTCTACAAAATCCAAAGTCCTAGTTTGGTGCCACAGGGGTTTCCAAAGGGGAGAGAAATTTTGAAACCATTTTTTTGTACAAGGACATAGAGAATAAGGAAAGGATGAGGTCTTCCAAGGGGCTATCCCCAACCCAAATATCCTCCCAAAACTGAACAGAGTTACTAACTTAGAGAACGTGGTGATTGTAGGTGATACAAAGGTGATAGTGGACTGGCTGAGGGAACTTGAATCAGTTACCTGACATTGTAGGGATGAAATGAAGAAATTCAAGTAGTTAACAAGTAACATCAACCTGATTATACAATGGGAGGGGCAAGAGGCTAATGCTTTGGCTGACTTGTTAGCTAAGCAAGGGTAAATAGGGATTAGTTGTATTGGGTTCATTTGTAATTGATCAATGTTTTGTCTATAGGTGAGGCTGCATCTTGTGCCTCCCCCTAGGATGGATCGTGCACATCATGTTTGTATTTCTGATCTGTTGGTTTTATTATCAATAAATTATTTACTTATAAGAAAGTGTTCTAATGTACAAAAAACTATGCCAACTAACCATTAATCCCAAATAACAGTTTATTGGTAGCATCAAAAGAAGTTATGGAAAGATTCACAAAAAAAAAAAAAAAAGTTATGGGAAGGATCTATTGTTGAGATAGCAGGCACTCCATGCCCAAATCTAACAAGTCATGCATATTTCTCAATATAAGAACTTTAGCCCCAGAAAGAAATAGTGCATAAAATTAAATATCATAGCTACTAGAGAGATTCATGATTCGAAAAACCTTCTGCCCAACTACTGACCACACCTTAGGAACCAACTAAAGAATGTGTGTGCCTGTAAGGCTATAATATCTATGGTTAATTGAGGTTAATTGGTTATATATAAAACTGATGTAGTCAAGGTGTCAATGAGTCAACCATCTAGGCATTTGAGGATCCCAATGTCCAACTAAGCAAATAATCAGGGAATGCACACTAATTGGCCACTTGTGTATGATTGGGTGACAAAAATAATAATTCATTGACTGCTCATCCTGCTTAGTTCATGTGGACCCTTTCCATTTGGTTTTGGTCTAGGTGGCGAGCATTTAAATGTATTTTAAAGGTATTTTTCTTTGAGAAGCTGATGGGTTGATGGACAAGATGTTGCGATATGCAACAAACCAAGGGGATTACAGCAAACATTTGACTTGTCCAGTTAACTAGTTATCACCTACATACTGTCTAGCCAACGTTGTGCTGAGGGAGACATGGCAACAAGGCATTGCCCAGCTGTCTTAACTAAATACTAAAGCTAAACAATTCATTTAACAATATAAAATAGTAATTTAAGCTTTTACATATAATGCAAATCATTAAGCAAATGGCTTGATCATATGCTTCCACTAATTTGCTCTGTGCAGAGTGCAGTTCACATGGCATACCACCCACACTGGATAATGCCCAAGTGGCAGGAGCCTAGAAGTGGCCAGGCATTTTTCCTGACTAACAAGAGAGATTCTTCTTGACATTGAAAGGGCATTCATCATTCACCTTGTGAATATCAATGCAAGGTCTAAACCGAACAGCACACTGGATGAATGATCGAGATCCTGCACAGAGTAACAGCTTTAACATTACTAGTCACAACTTCAGTTACATTCTTATGAAGCTTCTTTGGAAAATAAGCATATTGGAAGTAGTAAAAAGATTCTGTTAAGGCTGAATTAAATCATTAGGATTTGATCAGGTTCTACTAAAGTTTAATTTACACAGATTTCTGCAAGTTCTAGGAGAAATACATAGATAAAGCTCTTAGGTACTCTAGAAGGAAAAGAAAATATTTGAGCTTTGCAATATATATGAATTCTCCAAATCAGGTGCTGTTAGGGCTGCAAATGGTAAAGTTGACATGCACCTATTAGTAAAGAAGGATTGCATGTTGTGCATTTACTAAAGACTCATAGGTTCAAATCTTATATTAGTTATTTTCAATTTATTTCATTTATAATAATACAATATCAAAGTGATTTTTAGCTCATTTTATCAATAATATATAATGTTCTGACTTTCTGATCATTTTTAGTTCAACAAATTGTATTTAATTGAACTATAATCTGGAAATCCCATGCTCCTTCAAAAGTAGCCTTCTTGGTTTGGACTGCAGCACTTGATAAGTGCCTAACCACAGATCTATCAAAAAATAAATAAATAAATAAGTGCCTAACCACAGATCGGCTACTCAGAAAGGGGATGCAGCTTCCTAGTATCTACTGTCCCTTCTGCAATGAAGCTCCTGAATCTTCCAGCCACATTTTTATTCACTGCAACTTCTCTCAGCAGCTCTGAGATATGGCTCTCTCCTGTTTTGGTGTCTCCTCTTGCTCTCCTGCTTCTGTTGCACAGCTTCTTCAGGGGTGGACGGTGGACCTTAGAGGGTCTGAATGTAAGAGGCAAGCTGCTTTGGAAGATTTTTCCAGCTGCTATCCTTTGGGCCCTTTGGAAGGAAAGGAACAGCCAAATTTTTTACAACCTTTCCAATGACATAGTTTCAGTCAAAAACAAAGTTATAGGTTTTTTATGTTCCTGGTTAAGTGTACAAAGAGCTTTCACTGGAGTTCAGCTTTTTTCTTTTTTGCAAGTTGAACCATTCTTTATCTAATTTCTCAGATCTTTTTGTAAATTCCCATTGTACAGGTCCTCATTGTACATGGGCTGATATACCTGGTTTCTTTTTGCAATATAATACTTTACCTTCTTCAAAAAAAATGTATTTAATTGAAATCTGATTTAAATCCAATGGATAAGATTCAATTTAAATCCAAACATTAATGAATGATTTTTTTGAAAGGTAATATTAATGAATGAAATTTGGATCTAGGTGTATCCTCTTCGATCCAATCCATTTGCAACCCTAGGTGCTGAATCCATGCCAATTGCTGGAACTGACCATTTTTAGTGTAAATTCTGCATGCCAATTGCTGGAACTGTCCATTTTTAGTGTAAATTCTGTTTCCAACACCTTGTCCATGTTGTGCTAAACTCGTAAAGATGTTTGCCCCAATAACGTAGTGTTATTAATAAAATATTAGTAGTTTGCTAGTAAACCTCATATAGTTGGGACAGGACATATTTGAGTTAAGATTAGGTTTCGTTTCTTGTATTTATTTTCATGCTCATCACTTGGTGTCAGAGCACTTTTTCAGGCTGAAGGCTGTGGGCTAAATGAAAGACTGCTTGACAAAAGTAAGGAATACATCTGCCAAGTGCAGATTGATTGGAAAATCCAGATACCAAGATTAAATTCATCTTTTTATTAGAAAATAGAAACCAAAAAAATATCCATGAAGTATTTATGCGTATATATAAACTAAGGGGATATCAATGAAAACAGATGATTGAAACCCCACATGAAGCCTTCAAACAATACCTCCATCTACACCCAAAAAATGAGATTGATTGAAAATACAGTCCCAAATTGATTGAAAATACATGAAGCCTTACTATGACATTTGCATTTTTCCTCTTCTATCTAGAGCTGRGCACATAGAAGTTCTTATTTATAATATTCCTTCTAACACTCATAACCAAACCTACATCGATCAAATTCTGGTAGAATAAACGAATTCGGATTAGCTGAACGCTTTAGCCGTTCAGCGGGCTGTGGAACCAATTATGAGATTCCACGCCAGTAATAAATTCATGGGCCCCACTGTAAAAATGCGGGCCCCATGTATTTAAAGACTGGTGGGGAACCTTATCATTGGTTCCGCAGCCCACCAAACAGTTAAAGTGTTCAGCTAAACCTTGCTCAGAATAAACAAGTACTGTCAATTACCATCCACATTAAGTATACATTACACAGTAGAACACCAATAGGAACTCCACTTTCTCATAAATCTTGTTTCTAATATGCTCAATAAGAATCTAGAATGGAATAAGTTTATGCACGTCCCAGTTCAAAAGTCAGTATCTTTGCCCAAGTGTAAACTGCATCCAACTCTCCAGTGGCTCCATTCCCTCTGAGCAACCAACAAAAGCATTTGCTCTGAGATCCTTCTCATGGAACAGTCTAAAGACAGCACTCATTGAAAGCATTGGTGCAACTTCCTTGCTCAAAAGTTTTCTCCAACCTTTCCGTCTTCAAATTTTATTGATTTATTGATTTTTGTTTCCAACTAATATTCTCCAACAACCAAATCTATTGATTTTTTTTCAAACATAACAGAATCTTTATGCTACTTCCACAACAACCATATACAAGAAAGATTTGTAATACATGCAATTTTTAAACTGACTCAAAATAATGCATACCAGATAATTTTGGCAAGGCAACTGTAAACCTCTGCTTCCTTACAGCATTGACTGTAGAATTCAAAGTTGCACAACGTGAAGTAGGCTCATAAGTTGAAATGGAATGCTGTAACTTGGTTATATTCATGGTCTGGGTCATGGACAACCTCTGCAAAATATAGCCAACCCCGTATAGTTAGGATATGATAAGGCATAGAAGCCTTATATGATGATTTATTTGTTACAGAGTATTGGGATTATACTATAAAATACATAGCATATTGGGCATTCAGGATCTATCACAGCCTAATACACTAATAACCATAATATTCAAATCCTATCTCAACCAAGATGTAATTTCAACTATAATCCTGGGTTACCATTTTTATAAGAGAATGAAAACAGTTGCATTTTGAATGAAAAGAGTCTAGTTTCTTTGGTTTTTAGATAAAATACTAAGCACATTTCTGAACCATGGTTAATGATAGATGGCGAATCGGTGATTATAGCAATATATATATTCTTCTTGTAGAACCTGCACCAATAATAAGAGCATCATCTACTTGTTCTTGCTTCTTAAGAAGATTCTTCTCTATTTCCCTTAATGCGAACAAATCTTTTATTATCAATAGTGATTAAACAAACCAATATGCCTCAAATTTATTCACGACCAACAAAAAATTAACCTAATATAACTTGAATTTCAGAGTTTTAACCAAAGAAAATACTTATTAATTCACAAAAAACTCCTCTAAATCACAGTGATCTGCACCTAGAGGCTGACATAACCATGTCGAGTAGCTTATAGCCATTGAGTGGTCATGGGTAAGTATTTTAACCAACCAATACAGTTTATTTATTTATTTTTTTTTGAGAAGTAACCAAGACAGAATATAACTACCATGTTCCAGGCACCATGAACATGCTTGCATTTTTTTTTTAGTTCTAAAAGACTTACTAGTACTTTGTACTTAATATTCCTTCTAAAAAAATTCATGGATTTGACAGAAATAAAGCACCAAATTTGGTTTCTAATATGAAAATGTATAAGCTTAAAATTTTAACAGCTCCCACATAGCTGAAACCCTCACTCTAGGATGTTTTGCCATGCATAATTTGTTAACTTTTGGAATAAGTTGAAAGCAAATTGGATTACAGGTCAACCATCAGTAATCTCATTCCAAAACCATAAAACTTGTTCCAGTGTGTGTTACCCACCATAGATGTCAACCCAAACCATCSAAAGATATTTGGTTTCTTCAATTATTGCTTCTAGGAGTTATTTTGTAACCCTGAAGTTCTACATCTGAGTTTCTTATGTTACTAGTATTTTTTTTTTTTGATCAATAACACTTTCATTAATTCATCAATAGAAGATTTACAAAAGGAAGACAAACACGCTTATCTTCCAAGAGCAACAAAGAACCTCAAGAAAAGGAAAAAGGAAAGAGAAAATAAAGAAAACACACTAAAGTTATAGCTTGGCCCAAAAAAGTGAATCCCTTTCTGCCCCTTGTTTAGCTAAACCGTCAGCTAGGGAATTAGCCGATCTTTTAACCCAACGTATC